AGTCGCATTTTCTCACAGTAAATCCCCATATAATAAAAGATTGAGATGATACGATGGGAAGAAATTAGCTTGTTGTCTTCAGTTTTACGCAGTACAAGATTATCCAATACAAAGTCTTGACACAAGAATAGCAACTAGTTTAATAAATCACAATATTTGACCACGTTGTACACTCTTCTGAACTATTCAGTTAACAATCAAAAAACAGATGAGATGTCGGTATGAATATCAGAAAAATTCCGATTGACGATAGTCTGACGATAGTTGATGATATACACGAACCACATGAGAAATACTGAGTTTTCATGTATTTTCAGTAGACGTAAATTGTTGCAAATACATCGACCATATGTTTTTATATTTGTATCAGTTAAAGTATATGATCTCAATCTTCTCCTTGTCACAGATCAAATTATTTGAAATTATCACTAAACCGAAACATGAAACTTATCAGAAATAAGAGTACAGTAGTATGACAGATACGCTCAACTTCGAGATCAACAGGCAGGAGTCCGTAAGGATAGACCAAATACAGACCGAAATCACAACTCTATGGATCATTGTGGAACAAACGATTGAATGGATTTTGTCACTCTACATCAACTTCATTGACTACAAAAAAGCTTTTGATAGCGTGGACAGAACAACATCGTGGAAACTTCTTCGGCACAACGACGTGCCTCAGAAGATAGTCAATATCATACAGAATTCATAATAATGTGGCAGATCTACGTCAGAAGGAATAGAACATATTGATTACTAACTATATCATATACGATCTGATAATTGCTTTGGTATGGAAATCCAGCATAGTTGTACACACGTATACATCGAATGAAGTGGTAATTTCAGGTTCGTGATGGCTTTGTACCAGAAAAGTAACATCTTTGATTGAAGATTGCATAATATAATGGATGTTTCATTGATTCATATCAATGGTTGTTCACGTTGTTCATTAATTGTATTATCGTGTTGTTATGTAGCTTAATAACTGCAAAGTAGCGAGATTCATTTTTTCACTACTAGCCACATTCCATCGATTCACTATTTGGAGGATACTGGATCTCATAACCAAACAATCACACTAATTTTCAAAATGTCAAAGATATGTGTGGATGATTCTCTTGAAAGACGATTGCTTCTGCTCATTTTCAATCCGTAATCCAATCAGTACGTAGTCAAGCATTGTAATGGACGGATGCTCGACATGTAATTCGATTTGCACATTTTGTACACCTGAAAATACATTTTGCTACAATTAATTAGGACCAACGAATTCACCATATCTCAATTTCGACGCAATCCTCTCACTACCGTTACACAATGTTTAGATTCGAAAATGCGTAATTATCTGTGGTTGTGTTGTTGGCTATCATCATATATCTTCAATTATCTACATTCTTCTCTATCCCCATTCACAATTTGTCGTTTATGCTTGTTTGAATGAGGCTAATTGAATAATGTCAACTGAAGTTTACTAGAAAAAAGCACAAATAATCTCAATATGTATGCAGTTTTGAAACCCACATTCAATCAATTTTTTTATTTTGAGGATACTGAATCTCATAACCAACTAAACACACTACTACAAGGTCAATGTGTGAAGCACGTACTGAATAAGTGGTACTTCATCACGTTGTATTATCAATGAAAATGTAGACATTTCAGTAAATCACGTATCTCATAAATAAAATCCATGTTAATCTTATACAATAAGTACCTCATGTCGATTATAAATATAAGATAATATTAAAATATCTAATGTTGTTGACATGATTGTTCGATTTGAAACGTTTTAGCCTTCATAGTGCTTAACATAGGTCATGAACCATTGAGCATAGATTTCATGTGACATAATGATTTATTGACTAATGGTTGGTGG